GGATCGGGCTGCAGCTGCGCGCCACGCTGGAGAACATCACCCGGCTGCGGGCCGAGGGGGAGGACTTCCGCTGGTACCTCAAGGTGCGGGGGCGGCCTCAGGGGTCTGGGGTCAGGGAAACGCTGTTCTCGGTGCCCAGAACTTGGTCCGGCGGGGACACATCCTTCCGCTGAAACACCCCCGTGGGGTTTTTCCACATAGTGCAGGCAGGAGCTGCAGGTGCGATGGTACACGTATACGTAGACATTATACATTAGTACGTGACATTATACATCAGTTTGCAGTAATCACGTTTTAAGTTCAAGAGTTGGTCAGTGCCTCCATGGGTGAGGTGGTTGGTAATCCAGTATCTGTTGACCGGTAACCCAGGTGAATGGCGCGATGCGCTATTCCCGTCTGTTATTTCATGGCCCTACTTTGTAACACGTTTTCTGTCCAGTCCCTCTGCAGCCAGGTCGCGTCAGCTCACCGGCTGTCGGGATGGACAGCAACTGAAATCTGCCCCCGGCTCCTCAGCTCTGTGGGGATCATGAGGGCTCACATCAGCACCTTCAGCTTTTTTTTTTAAATCCTTGATTATTGACAGCTGAATTCTCTGATCTGTGTTTATTTTTCAGCTGAAGTGTGGGAACTGCGGTGAAGTTTCTGAAAAGTGGCAGTATCTGCGGTTGATGGTATGTTTCCCTGCTGTAACCTGCATCAGAACAAAAATGCCTCGTACACACAAATCCTATTACCATCAGGGATGTCACAACTTGCACTTCAGATGAGGTAGTATTCTAATAGCTATATGCATTCAGAAAATGCTGTCATATTCCATATCAGAAAATATTTGGAGACTGCTAATTGAAATATGCCATTGGAATGGTGACTGTTGGTGATAAAGTATTTATTTACATCTGCTTTGAAAAGCCGCCTTTTGGTAAAACTACAATTTGAGAACAAATTTTGAAGTGATGTCAGAATAGGGTTGTGCCTGTAGCATATTTCCTGATGATGATGTAATATTTTTGGAGAAAATTAGGTAGTTTAAGGTGAGTTGAGCGTGCTAAACTAGCATTTAGAAACTGAAAAAGCAGGATAAAATTTGTCAGGGATAAGAGAAGGTTCTGTTCTTGGTAATGATCGTCCCTTTTTGTTGCATACTACTGAATGGTACGAATGTATTTTGAGGAATTAATGAAACATAATGGACAAGACATAACCATTATTCATATGGACAAGACATAACTATTCATTGTTCACTATTTTAACTCTTGAACATAATTCTTTGATAATCACAACCTTCTGAATTATAGATCTCTCTAGTTTTAAAAAAATCCTTTTAATGGCAATATTTTCAAAAAGTTTTCTACAACAGTGGTCTTTAACTACTACTTCACCTTTGCAGAGCTTACCAGTGGCTCAGCTAAAGTGCAGTTAAAAATGATGCCTCATTTGTCATGGCTTTTAGGACAGTGCTCCCCTGAAAGGAGGCAGAGGAAGCGCCACTATGGTGCAGAAATGCAAGCTGTGCTCCAGGGAGAACTCCATTGGTATGTGCTTAGAAATGTAAGAAGCATCATCCATTTTACACTTCCCTAAGTTTATTCTTTAGTCCACGTTTTTGCTTGACACTGTTGGTAAAGAGCATTCACCAGGTGCACTGGTGCTTGAGCTCACAACAGGTACACGCTTGTATTCATGCTCATGAAGCAGGCAGCAAGGCCTCCTGGTGAGTTCAGGTTTCTGCATGAACAAAACTAACATCCCTAATGTCATTTTACAAAAGTATGCAGTATTTTTTTTTGCATTGGTAGCGTAAGAATATTTTATAATGTAAACCTCTCAGGCAAAGTGAGAAAAACTGAACTCTACATTTCTGGGCCAGCCGCTGGAACTGGTTGGTTACTTTCTTTTACTTTGTATGAGGAAATTTCTGTGAAAGGAGTCAGTGCTTGGTTTGTGCTGAGTAAAACTGAATGTGACGTAATGCCACTCACTTTGACACTTCTGATTTCTTTTTTTTTTTAGATATTTTAAGTCAGACAATCAAACCTTACAACGTAAGTTTGTTTCTTATATAACAAGTGAAAGACAAATAAGCATTAATTAATAGTACTTTGAGGTTTTGTTTTATCATCACATTCCTTTTTCAAGATCACAAAAAGCTGGTATTCTCCTTAGAGAGAAAATTGTCTCTTGTACACAGGCTCCTGCACAGTCTGAAGCGTAGAATAATCTGGTACATTTCATGAGCAAAACACAAAATTGTGAGACTCAAATTCGAGGCGATTGTACAACGCCTGTATTTCCTCTTGAAGGCTTACTTGTGGCAGAGCAAGAAATTCTAGTTCATTACCACCTATTTAATGAGCTGTAGGATTTTGCTGTCATTTGGAACATCAGAGTTGATAGCACTGCCTTAAAAGCAATTCATTCCTAGACTACTGCTTGTCACTGTCTGCCAGATGAACGCTGATGGTGTTCTGGCTCAATTACAGGCTGAAGACAGCGAGAAATTCAAAACGATAGTGGAGTTCGAGTGCCGAGGCCTGGAACCGGTTGACTTTCAACCACAGGTGAGTTCTTGTGATTTGTTTCTCAGTTTTTAAGAGCTAGTCTTACAGACTATAGACTGATAAAATACACACAGTTTGAAACAGTACTGCTCTTCCTGGAACGTCCTAGACCTCCCCAGTTTTCTGACCTCTCTGCAGTTCTTTCTTTTACTTCATTTGTCTCCAAAAAAACCCTGCGAGCAGCTAACACTGAGAACTGTGGTATTCTTTGTGCCAGTAAAATAAAAAATTAAACACACCTTGAATTCATTTGAAAGGTCTTCATTACTCAGGTTATTGCAAAAGAAAGTCTTTCCCAAAAGGGAACTGTGAGAGTGCATAGACAGCCGCGTTCAGGAGAGCGCCACTTTGCTTCTTGGTATGTTACAGAGTCAATGAAATTCAGATGATGAACAGTCTTCAGTATATGGCCTCTAAAAAAAAAAAATACCAAATTTTCTTTGCGGTTTGACATCGCCAAAGCCATAGGAAGTGAATATTGGCATTCTTCTGTTTGAAACTTGAACAAAGACTGAAGATGAACGGCAGTTCAAGACTCACAAAGCACACCTCAAGGCTCAGAGTTAAAGGATTTCTCCAGGGCCAAGCCAGTCTTGAGTGACTCATTTGCTTGTGCATGGTCATGCTGTATGCAAGTTAACTCCCTACTATATTTAACCTATTATTCCAGCCAGATTAGGTGTAAATAGACAGACAAATATAAACCTGTCTTATCCTTCCCTCAGACTGTGACACTGTGCTAAGAAACAGACTGAAAAAGCTGATCCTACAACGAATTCAGTATAAATAAAATCACCACTGCAGTGTGCTGCAGAAGGTCTTGTTTACTTATTTAAGCAAAGCCTATGTTTTTGAGGAACAGAATGGTTATTGGTTTATTCCTGTTTGAAGGCTTTGCAATCAGACCTAGGAACTTGCACTTCAAGAAAAAGCTATCAGACTACAAAATGCAGGAGATGCTTAAAGCTCTACATCCTAGCTCTCCGTTTTAACTGCAGAACAAAGACTTCACATCTGTGATAAAGCTTTTAATTTAATAATCTCAAAGTGTGCGCACTACTGGGGAGTACACTTGAATCCCTTAGCAGATATTTCAGTCAATTTTCTGGTGCCTAAATGAGCAAATACATAGACTTCTGCAGTTCCACACAGTTCTATAAACTGCTTTGTATTTGACATGATGCAAGCCAGCCTGCTTTCTCCCCCTTATATCTGGCTTTTAGTTAGCACCAAACCTACCGTATGGCCATAGCATTACTGTATTTTCTTTGTATTTTTGATAGACATAATACAACCACACCTGAAGTTAATTTAGTGTGGCTTAATGCTTGTATGTCTTATTTAAATTTTAGTAGTTTTCACCAAAAAAAATAGAATTATTTGAGTCTGGAAGAGGAGGAGGTACCCTTTGATTCTGTGATATAAACACCCTACCTAGGAGCAGCAAAAATTCAAACTAGGTGCTTGTGTGTTCTAATAATGGGCAAAGATGGATTTTTTTCCCCAATTACCTTGTTTACTGTGCAGCTGCTGCTAATCTGATAGTTAAGTTTTTGTTTTACGTGAGGATAGTTCAGCTCCTTTCCTGTCTTTGTCCGTCAAGTGAATGCCTCAACTAAAAAAACAGAGGTTTCTTTATAAAATTTCTCTTAAACTTTCTTAAGCTTCTTTGCTTTGTGGCACAACCAGTAGTTTCGTTGGTAACACAAGTGTGACAGTTCACCGTGCTGTAAAGTCAAAAGGCGTTTCTGTTTCTGTGGCGTTTATGCTTTAGCTGTCGGTTCTTCGTCGGTCAGCAGAGGGTAGGCAAGTCCCTGCATAGCCCAGCGCCCGTCTGCAGAGATTAAACGAGGCTCTGCTGTGAGATTGCAAGTCCTGCTGAGTGTCTGGTACAGAAGCTTGACATTCTAGTCACATGGCTGCTTTTTCCTGGGAGGGCTGGTGAATATCTCCAGGTGGCAAAGCAGGGCTGCTTTGCTTTTTTTCTCAGGTTTCTTCTATACTGCAGCTCTGCATTTTTGTCCCGTGATGCTGATCTTCCTCTCCAGCCCTAGCAGTTCCCTTGAGGTGGGCTTCTGACAATCATATAAAGGCCACATTCACACTGTGCCTTGCAGATAGGTCTCCCGTTGTGTGCCACACGCTGTGGTTTATTCAACTCCCAAGTGCTTAACCTTCCATTCAAATCCTGAAATATGTTTCTATCGTGTGGCTTACTCCACACAGTCTTACCCAGTTCAGTGTTTGGCTGGCGCTAGTGGGGATTTTTTTATGAACAATGCAAGTGTGGATCCCTTGCAGAAAACCAGAAAGAAGCTACCTTTGCTTTTTAGCCACTTCTTAATAAAATTCCGTAGTTGGAAACATCAACGTAAGAAACCTTCCTGTATGCTACAGAGGTGGCTGAGATTTTTTAATTTACTTTTAAAACTAGTAAAATTTAATTTACAGCTTGATAACTGTGAGCCCTAAAATGAGAGCTCTTTCTATAGAAGATAAAACAGAACACCTTGCTCTTGTGCTATGCCCCAGTGAAACACTACTTCCTTCCTAGTGCTATCCTTTCCTTCACGTCATTAAAAACAGCAGCAGTTACGAGTGAAGAACTCTCCCCTCTGAAATGGTGTTGGGTATCCTGATCTGTTCATTCAGCCCGCTGAGCCTCCTTTCATGTAAAACTTGCTAGTCACTTCTCTACCTAAATCTAGCACAGGCTGCTCCTTCTCTAGAGCATCTCGGGTTCTTACGATAGTTAAGCCAAAATTATTACATCTCTTCCACATTTTCGTCCTATTTTTTCTTGTGTAAGTTTATTATGAAGCTTTTTTATACACAATGCCTGTGTGGATTCTGAACACAAAACTATTAGCAATTGGATGCTGCTACATAAACTTAAAAACTCAGGTTTAACATTATCTAGGATACTTGGAAATACCTTTTGGCAAGAAAAACAGAGGAGCAGTGTTCTTTCATTGTACTCTGTGGTTGCTTAGATTGAATTTTCCCAGTTCACAAACAGGGTCACAACCTTATACTGACCCTTAATCAGGAAAGAGCCTGACCATTCTTTCTACCTAATTTCAAAGAAATACAATAAAAGTCTCTCTGAGTTACTTTGTTTAAACTTGTTTTAATGATTGTACAAGTTATTCTTAACTTACTGCAAATCTATTTGCAGGCAGGATTTGCTGCTGAAGGTGCAGAATCTGGCACACCTTTCAATGACATAAACTTATTAGAAAAGGTATGTTGTCTTGGTTTCAATAGTAAATCTAATTATCTAGCTTGCTTTCCCTAAGTCACTACTCCAAAATACACACTGCATGTGCACGAGACAATTTTGCTGTTTCATGTAGGCACAGGGAAGTCATAGTTAGAGCTGGGGAAACTAAATCAACTATTAACAACCAGCATCACTAACAGTGTCATTTTAGAAGTCACGTTTGAGAGCTTAGCAGCTGAGGACGGTAGAAATGTGACTTTTTTTTTAAGTCACTTGGGAATTCCAAGGAGCAAATGGAGTACAAAATTATTTGGGTTATTCAGAGTAGTGAACTGCTATGTCTAGGAAGGTGCCTACACTTCTTCCTGTGTACAAGGATACTAAAAAGTAATATAAAGACTGTCCTTCAAAGCTCAGGATAATGACTCCAGCGTTGCAAATCTTCCTTGGCTGTGAGCAACAATCTCAAGGTCAAATCTGTTCCCTGGTATCCTACTTGGCAGGGATCTGCTTGTCTGCTTACCCACCTGACTAGGTATTGTAAATGATAGCTAATCCCCTCATCTGCCGTGGTTGCCGTCCTGGCTACTACAGGCTTTAGCCTACATATGAAAAAAGATATCACTGTTCAACCACTGAGACTGAAGCCCATCTAATTTCAGGTCAGTGCTCCTGCTTCTCTCAGGTATCAGAACTTAGTGACTGCACAGGGTTTTCCACAGAAATCTAAGATGCAAATTTTGACTAAGGCTTGGTTTCAGTTTGAATCTCTGTCTGTGTTGTAGACGCTGTTGCATTCTGTCCTCAGGACTAATACTGTGAAATCTTATTTCCCATAGGATTGGAATGACTATGATGAAAAAACAAAGGAATCTGTTGGAATCTATGAAGTTACCCATAAATTTGTAAAATGCTAAAGTTCCTACCCCTAATGAATCCTGACATGCTATTGACAAAGGACCTGTAGCCATCAGAGATGCACTTTCCTTGGAGTTGCTGTTCACATGGCTGTACTTCACAAATGGAAACCTAAGTTGTACTTACTGTCCCCAGGACATCCTAATAAAATACTTTCCCCAGAGCACTTCTGAGATGGCCTTAGTACAAACTGAAAATAGTACATACACTTGACTGAGCTGTGCCATTTTCTTAATATTGTCTTTGGAAATATAAACGTGTTTGTGATGGACTGTAGCTTAACTACTGTATCAGTAGTAACCAGTTAGACAACTTACTGCCTTAAAGTTTTAATAGCCTATCGCCAAGAAGTACTCATGTTTTATTTTCTCACATAAGCAAGTAAGGTCTCTTCACTCATCATTCCTGTCATCAGGAAATGGCTGTGTTAGTAAAGGGACTGTGCTCACTGGTCAAGAGAAAAGGTACGTCTTTAACAGCTTCCTCTACAGTTCCAAGCAGACACTGAGGTGAGTTTACTGAGAACTCTCAGTAAGTTTGGCTGCTATTGATGCTTACACGTAGCTCTTACATCTTCTGAAGATCTGTTTGTCATTTAGTGAACTTCACTCCGTTCAAGTTCAAGGCCGACTTTCTACTTCTTGGCAAGCGTGCTCACAATCCTGCCAGCTGGTCTCACGTTAAAAAACCAAACACCCCAATACCTTCTTTAGTGAATCTCATTCAAAAACTTTTGGTCTGAATATTTTTTCCTGATGTATTATTTCCTTCACCACCACCCCCGCAGATGATCACCTTCCTTTGTTTAAATGAGCAAACCCAATCAGGGTATGTTTTAAAGTAAGCTTTAAAATACTCCTTTTGAACTGGAAAACAGAACACATTGCAGGCTACAGAGGAAACAGCCCTGACTAGGAAAAGTTTATAAGCCATTGGGATTACATATTTAATGCATGCCTCTGCCTTTTCTAGCACTTGCAGTTCGTACTTCAAGATATGGTATTGCTCACATTTACTGTGATCAAAGACACTTGGGAGAACCTGGAAGCTGAGATATCCAAAGGAAGAGTAAAGGCAAGTAGGTATTCAGCTCCAGAGAAAGACTGCTCTTCCCAGAAGAAAACCAGAGTGGAAGACATCAGCATTTAGAAGGCAGAGGAGTTCAAGTTAGACACACCATAACGAATTTTGTGCAAAAAGAGGTATCCCATGCAAAGGGCACCTGTGTTGTAACCCAGCAGCTTTGTGCGCCTTTGGCTTCTGGACTGGCAGACCCCTGCCCCTTCTGCTACCACCCACGTCGTAGCTGGCAGAGGCCCAGCTGTGAAGAGCACACAAGGAGCTGTCTGCACCAGTTCCATCTGCACCAGGAAAACACTGAGATTACTTTTCCCCGGTCAGGGGTGTTTGGAAACTGAGAAACCCAAAAGATAAAGCTCAGTGATTTTTTTAAGGCACAAGAGCACAGGTTTACAGAGCAAAGCAAGCAGCATGCTTCCAGTAGTGTTCTTCTCAACCTTCGTAAGAAACATGACCTCCTGATAAAGGGACTACTCCTACTGTATAGTTGTGATACAGCAATAAAAGAGCCTTGTGGTTATTACTAGATAGCTTTATTAAAATATAGTCTTTTCCAGTCAATGTAACGACACAATTGGTGGTTGCAGGTTGCTTAAAGCCTCCCACTTCATTTTTTGTTCCTCAAAAAGCTGTTACAGTGGAAAGGCTTCAAGCAGTTGAGGCACAATCAGTTCCAATATCAATTCAAGTTTAAAAAGAAAAGTGTGACAAGTTAGTAAGCAAGCTTACTGCAAGAGTGCCAATGTAACCACTCTTTCGTATTTAAAACGATTGCATATATCTTTTTAATCAAGCAATTTAAGAGTGGTATCACAGTGCTGTTGTCTGAACACTATGGATGAACACTCGGAAGACTCGGATGTTCCAAGTTCATACCCTCAGTAACAGTGCTTTTCATTTTAAAGGTGTTTTAAGAGCACATGGATCTGTTGGAACAGACAGATCTGTTCACTTCGACATTGTGAATGTTTGTATTTCCTGAAACATGCATTCAAGGTCTGTTCTTGATTTTTTTAAGTAGATAAAAAACTCACAGTGAATCTAACAGGACTCAAGTTCAGTGGAGATAAATGAAGCCAATTAAGCTGGGCGGTCTCAGCCACGTTGGACACCAGTTCGTATGCCAGTCAGTCTGCACTCTGTACTGCAGCTGTAATGTGTTCCAACATTTTTATGTCTAACTACTGATTGTCTTGCCCTTTAAAACATTGAAGATATCTTCTAGTGACTTGTATACACACTGAAGGAATTCTTTACCGTTCCTAGCTGGGTAAGAGGAAACATTACAACCGATCCAATCATCGTGAACCTGATAGCCTACCCCAAAGCCATCAGACACGACGGGGCCAAACCCTCCCAGCTGCACAGCTGGGCTGACCAACGTGCTGGTAGAAATGATGTTGTGATTAAGTCGAGCATAGGCTTGGTCCTGATAGAAATCGGGCAGTGCAATACCTCTGGACAAGGCTAAATGGCGCAAGCCGAAGAGATGTCGGTCAAATCCCTGACCTGGTAAAATAAAACAAGTATTAGAGAGATGACTTATTTTTGTGGGAAGTAAACTTATTTTGACATCACCTTGTTTTTCATCCACACAGAGGAGGTCTACAGAACTGGGGTTTATTTTCATATTAGCAGGAATCATTTTTCAGAACCCAGGCATGCTGCACTTTTAATGTGGATATCCTGGAGAATGAGAGCTTGCTGCTTTACTGCGAGCCTCAACCGGGACCCGTGAGAGTGAACAAAAGTGCACCGTTAACAGACAATTTAGTAATACACTGTATTCTTTGATTACTATTTATCTGAACATACCCAGGTTGTTTACAGCAGAGAAAGGCTTTCCTAACATTTATGAATCTAAAGAGGAAGATGTTGCATCAACTAAAGGAGGCAAATTTTAAGACTCTATGGGGTAATGTTCAAGAGTCAATTTTACTGAAACAGTACACCAGGTTATGCTTCTGGGAAGGATAATTCAGAAGAAACCATTCAGAAAATGCTAGCACAGCCAAAGAATCAGTGTGATCTGGAAGCTGTTAAAGCCTTTATTGCCTGCAGGGTTAAGACAGTAACTCCTCAGACATAAAGCCAAAGTTCTTGGGTGCCTTGGGGAGTACAAGACGCAAAATTTATCAAATTTTCAAACAACCCCGCTGCTATAAGGACAAAAACTAAAGTATGAAAAATTCCCAACATGTTAACAGTGAAGTGACAAGCCCAGAGGCATTTCTCTCCATCAAGAGAGGAGTCTTAGGGAATGCATTTTAAACTGCAGCCTTCTGCTGCTGTTTTTTGTCAGGTTACATTAACACTAGACCGCCATTAAAATCATTTAGTCGTGAAGTAAACATTTACAGCAACCGCAATAGACATTTTAGTGCAAGAGCGTCTGATGTATTCCTACTTACCCATAGCAGCTTCTCTTGTCAAACGGCCATGGTATTTTGAGCACTCCACTATCAACTGCTGAAGCTCTTCCGTGCTATGTTTGAACAGTTCCCTGACAAACGCTTCCGAGCACCTCTTTGTGTGGATCGAGGCAGGACGTATGGTTTCTGTACGGCCATGCTTGAAAGCTGCAGTACTGCAAGACTCGTAGGTAGCAACAGTCTGGTTGTACTGTCGCAGGAAAGCCATCTGGAAGGCAAGCTGAGCCACAGCATCCGGGCTCACCTTCTTCTGCTTTAGGAGGTCCTTGCCCCCTTCGTGGAACTGCATCATATTAAGAGACAGTGCTTCTACAGTGGCGTCAAACTGCTGCTTGGCTTTGGTAATTCCTGCTTTTAAGGCATCATTCAGCTTAAAGTCAAGTTTCTGCACTGCTCTAGAAGAGTCCACTGAAGCAGGCTGGGACTGGGGGCTGACGGCTGGTGCTGTGGTGCTATCTTTAAAAACCTCATTCTGGAACCTGAGCACGGCCACACCATCTCCCCAGGAGTGTTCAAAATTAATTCCTGCAGTGCCATCCTTAGCTATGATAAGATTAAAGGATTTGTCATACCAGCGGTTAGCACCATCTCCGTGCAACATAGTGTGGGACAAGTGCACAAAGTCTTTAATGGGAAAATCATCCAAACTTAAACAAAACACCGCAGAGTCCACTTTCTGAAGAGCTTCTTCATTGCCATTATCCAGTAGATTCTTTCTCAGCGATGCCCACGTGTCTCGGTTTTCACTGGAGAGGTAGCCAAGAGGGAAGGCTGGGACTGGACTGTCGTCGCTAAGGATGTATTTCAAGTGTGCTTGTATTTCTGAAGGTTTCAGTGTATTTCCGTCTTTATCGATAACATCAAAGACATAAAAATTCCCGTTTCTCAGCACCAGTAAATGTTTTGCCTTTTCATCCGTATAAAGCTCATCTCTGCTGAGTTTAGGCAGCCGCGTAGAGTTGAAAAGCCTGAAGTACTGCGACATATCGAGGGGGTACGCATTGACCATGTAGGCACCAAACCAAGAGAGCGATGAAGGCACAAATCGGATGATTTGTTTAAAGATCTGAGTGTCACTTTTTTCAGGATTGAGGTGAAAAACCTCTGGTTCAAGATAACCAGCCCTGAAGGTCTTCAGAAAACGTAAAGCAGAAACAGTCATATTCGTAGCTCGCGTGAGCTGATCGTTGTATTCCGATTTCGGATCAGGATTAAAAGACATAAATGCATTAAAATTCAGAACAACAGGTTCACGGGCTTTTAGGTACATGTCAAACCAGGGACCTGAAAATGGAGAGTTGAGAAATAGGTCAGAACATAAAAGCAGCTTACGGAGTCAGACCAGCAGCTCACACAGTCAACACCCTGCCTCCAAGAGCGATCATGAACACGCATCTACTGAAGTGCACACAAACACAACAGGCACGTGCAGTAATTCCCCCAGCCCCAAAGATTCTCCAACTCCAATTAGGAAGAAAGGGACTGTTGGCTAACTGTGAAAACGCGGTGTTTGGAGCAATCCATACTGGGCCAATTTCCATGTTTTCTCTATGGCTTCGTGATAATCGGTAACTCCCATGACATACAACGCAGCTCCCAGGCGCTGTATTTTGGTGCAAACCTCACATCTGCAGTGGAACATGCCTTCAGCTACCCTTAAGCTGTCCATTTCTACAACTGTCATTGAGGGCATGCACCTCTTTAGAACCACCCTTATTTCTCATCCAGTACCTCCCTCATTCCCGGCAGCATTCCTCCATCTACATTTGTGTCCTGCATTTCCACCCCCTTCCTCTTCCTATCCACTAAAATGATCAGCACAGGGCAAAACTCTTGACACCAGAGCAAGAGCACCGATACACCACTTGTCTCTCAAGCTGGCAAAAGGGATGAGGTTAAAGGGGACCTCACAGGTCCTACTCTCCCAGGCCCAGAACAGACACTGGAAGGCAGAATTACACTTGATACCCACAGATCTTTTAGACAGTCTGTCAGCAAATCAAGAAGCATCAAGTGACCCAAAGGGTTTGTGTCTGCTCACCAAAACCAGGGGAAACAATCACAGCTCTAAAAAGGAGTCACACCTTTACACTCACCTGTGAGTCAATGAAAATCCAGGGGGCACAGGCAGAAAAGGAATTCTTTAAATTGGTTCTATTTCATTAACAACTTCAAACTCAGTAAGATCCGGTATTGCACACTGCCTGGACACAGCCCAAGGCAGCAAGTGCACACCAACTTCATCTCAAGGCAGCTGATGTATTAAAAGTTACTGTTCTCAGCCTGGATTGGTCTCAGGTAGAACCTTCTGGCTGTGTTGTAAAAGGGCAACGGGTACCTCAAGGACCTAAGTCGCAATTTTAATTCCAGGTCCTCACAGGTGAGTAACCAGCATTCACCTACAGCTTTAAAACATCTGTCATCATCACGTACCCTCTTAACCTTGAACTCCAAAGTCCAGGGTGTAGGCAACTACACATACTTCCAGAAACCAGTTTCAAGTGGAACAGGTCTATGAGGCCTACAACGAATACAAACACCCCACAGTTCACGGACAAAAAGCAGCGTGCTGGTTAGCACTGACAAGCACCATAAAGGCACTAGTTAAAGACCCAGATGTTGTTCAAAATGGATGGAAAGATAACAAACTGAGCAGCAGATTTTACGAAATGCTCTGGTACTTTCTACAGGATTTGTGGTAGCTAACACCCTTATAGGTAGTCTCAACAGACAGCAAGGATAGAAGTGCATTTGCTCAAACTTCAATACAGTAACTCATGAAAAAATACCGTTTCTTCGATATCCATCTCTCCAGAATTCTGGTACACACAAGTTAGATGATGGACGTTCTTCCCACCAGAGACTCAGCACCTGCCCAGGCAGAGTCACAGGCAGCATTCACGGCACGTTACGCCAAGTTTAGGAAGTAGAGAACTTCAGCCTATTTTATTTGTAGCATTAAGAGCTGTTATCAAGCAGGGTCATCTACAGACTCCTCCATGGAGTGGGCCAACATACCTGAGATGTAACTGGTATGCTTGTTCTGATTGTCTTGAGCAATCAGTTGCTCATGGAGCTCTCTTCCAACTCCTTTTTCAAAGTGATGAGCAAGTTCTTCGGTCTTCCTACAGCAACCAAGGAAAGAGTCAAAATGCTGTCACAATCCGTGTTTTTAACGTGAAACAACTGGCTTTGAAGCTGCACATGGTACTGCAATATGCATATCTTGTCTATCCATACCTGAACTGGTCATCATTTAAAAGCGGTTTCTGGGCATTCAGGTATCTCCCAATTGTATCTTCTAGCTTGGGAACGGGCAGTCTGAAAGCAGGCGGAACAGAGACGCACTATGAGCAATGGTACCAACAAAGCCTCAGTCTCTTACACAGCAGTCTCTCTTTGCCTCCCCTCTTTCCTATCCTTCCTTATACCCTGTATCAGCCAAATGGCTCAAAAGTTGCTTGTGGAAGAAGAAAAGAAAAAGAATAGCTGGACATACATCATCACAGCATAAGGCGCTTGGAAAATTAGGTAGAAAACCAACTTGCCTGCCTTGTTACAAAGGCACTGCAGTGAAGGGTCCAAGTACCTCCCAGGGAACACAGGGACGTGAAGTGTTGCAAGGAGAAGTGGCTGTACTGAAGATTTAGTTTGGTAGCCACCCCTGCACCGGGATTTCCCCTCACTGCTGGGTGCTGAACATTGACTTTTTCTTGCAAATTTCCTAATCAGTATCTTTGTCACCTTCCTCTTGGCCTAAACATGAAAACGCTCCTCTTACTGTGAAATTACACCACCAAAGGTTACTTTGGAATCTGAAGAGACGTTTCAGTAGTGGCTTATGGTCATATTTATGCTTTAAAAAATGAATTTTTTCCTCTCCACTGTGATTTAGGAAGAGCACCCACAAGAAGCGAGTTAGCGCG